CTAATTTTTGGATGCTCTTTTGAGCTATAATTATATATTTCGTCTTTCCTGTCGAGATAAAAAAGTAGTCGATAACTGGAATTGTCTATTTGTCAACAAGTTTGGAACAAGCTGTTAACAACTTGTAACAACCTTGTTGATATTATCAGACTTGTTGCAAGGTTGTTCGATACAGTCATGATATAGCAGTATTGTTACAACCTTGTAACATTCTTGTCTATCATGACTGTATCAGACTTGTTAGAACAACCTTGTGACAAGTCTGATAATGCCATCAAGCTTGTTACAAGTTGTCAACAGCTTGTTTCAAACTTGTTTCAACAACTGGGAACAAGCAGTGCGAAGACAACTTGTTGACAGCTTGTGAACAGATTTGTAACAACTTGTTTGCAGACCTGTAACAACTTGTGTGTTTTTATACGTGTGTACATATTGTGCCCTGCGCTTGTTCACATGGGAATTCCGTGCGAATGGCGCCTAAATTACGAAAACGTTTTAAAATTTTGAAGAAGCGTCCGCTGACGTCATTCATCGTGCTCTGGAGAAGAAACGTCAAGATGATGGTCACGTGATGTGTATCGTGATCCACAAGGCTGACAGACTGAAGACTGACTTAAGAATCAACCATCCATTAGTACGTGTTCACGTGCTAGATGTTAATACGGGGGAATACGTGAAGAAATGCAGTGGGTAAGTTTGTATGTTTCTGGCATAGTCATGCAGTGAGCTCGATATACTGTATATATCTGGAGCGAGAAGTCGAGTCCAAAAAAGTGACGCCAAGATGGCTTGATGGCAGGGCATTTTTTAAGAAAATTACAACTACTGGGGCCAAGTCTCAGTGAGGGCCTTTCTCCCACACAATTACGCGCACATAAAGACCATGCTGTGCTGACTTTTATAACTAAAGATGGAATATCGAGAATGTTAGAGGACGTGAGAAAGCAGACAGATGCCGCTTTTTCAACAAGGATGACTTTTTACTAATGATCGAAAGGGCCCAGCTCATCTGAAAATATTGCTTCACTACTGGGGCAAGCAAAGGGCCTACTGGGGTAAATGCCCCAGTATAGTTATATAGATAAAAAATGCCCTGCTTGGTGGTGTCTGCTGGTTGACCACAATACACCATGATGCTTAGCGAAACCCACTTATCCAATAATAGCAGATTACCATTTCCTTGATCTTGATTACCATCTAACTCGATTTCTCATAAATACTGATTCTCATTTCATAGAAATCGTGCAGCGACGTCATACTACGAGAATCCAGAAACGGTGGATCATATCCTGCCATTAATGACTCAACCGTTTGACTTCAAACAACAAAAGTATGTTCCAGCCTTGATTTATTCCGTACTGCTTTCTTTGAAAGCCACGCAGGCAGAAATATAACTGAACTTATATGTCATGGTTACAGGTCTCTCATTCCATCATGGGAGGATGTTCTTATCATCAATGAAATATATTCTTACTTTTTACAACGCAATGAAGGTGATCCCGATGTCATTATTTTCTTTGAGGTGAGAAGACATTGAACGTCTGCTATTTAACGAGACCTTTAGAAATCAAGCCATTGTTGTTAGGCAGAAGAGGCATTGACTTTGTCCTACAACACAAAGGTTTAGTAAAGATCTCTGCAACTGTGAGTCTCTTTTGCAGATACTCGACTTCCTTAGTATGGCAGCAATAAACAAATTGAAGGGCACTCAGAGGTCGGATAGAGGATGGTACCAAATTGCATGGGCATTTCTTAAGGTAACTGTGGAAGTTAACTTATGTGTACTATCAATGTTAGAAGTCTCATTATCTTGTCTGTTGTCTTGTGTACTAACTTATGTACTATCTGTATCAATGTTAGAAGTCTGATTTTCTTAGTGAGAGGCGGTAGGTTAAAATTTAGTAAATCGGTTACTAATACTGCAGGACACTCCGCCAGCAAGTTAAGTCAAGTATCCATTACACACTGTCACGTAAAAACGCACAAGTTGTTACAAGTCTGCAAACAAGTTGTTATAAATCTGTTCACAAGCTGTCGACAACTTGTCTTCGCACTGCTTGTTCCCAGTTGTTTGTGATGTTACTCTGAGTGTGCATCCACACCGGGCAAGCTGAAAAGTTGGCTTGGCGACGGTGGGAATCGAACCCGCGACCTTTGGAACAAGTTTGTTGGGTTAACATCGAACCCGCGACCTTTGGAACAACTTTGTTCCCAGTTGTTGGAACAAGTTTGAAACAAGTTGTTAACAAGCTTGATGACATTATCGTACTTGTCACAAAGTTGTTCTAACCAGTCTGATACAGCCATGATAAACAAGAATGTGACAAGGTTGACGACACAAGGTTGTAACAATATTGTTATATCATCACTGTATCGGACTTGTTGGAACAACCTTGTAACAAGCCTGATGATATCAACATGGTTGTTACAAACTGTTAACAGCTTGTTCCAAATTTGTTGACAACTTGGGACAAGCAGTGCGAATACAACTTGTTGACGGCTTGTTGGCAGACTTGCTACAAGATGTGAGATTTTTACGTGTGTATCCAAGCAATCAATCTTACACTATACATGTTCTAATTAAGGATTTTTCAGCCCAGAAAAGCAATACACACTTTTGTTAATTACTCATCCAAATTTTTTATTAGTCGGTTTGTTCTTGTATGGCCATTAGCTCCATACATTTTCGTATCAAAATGCGTGGCAGTTTTTGAGTTATCCTACTGACAGACAATCTCAAGCAAACACAAACAAACCCAGGTGCCCTCCCACAGGGAATGCGGACAGTGTGGGTTGGGATTAGCCCCTAACTGACCCTCCCACCGCAGTTGTGCTCCGTGATCAGATACGTATCATAACGTGGCTGCCAGAGGCGTCCTTAGTAAGCCTTCGACTCGATTAGCTCTCAGCTGCAAGTAAGGATGATTAGCATACAGTAAAACCCCGCATATAAGAACCTAGAATTTAAGAACTAAAGAGGCTAAAATATTTTATTTAGATCCCCTTTAAATAAGAACCTGTTCAGGCTTGAATTTCAAAACAGATTCTTTTATTATCAAATAGAGTCAAAATTAAATCACAAGTTACAATCAGTGTAGCTTTAAAGTGCGTGTAGAGTTGGTATAGTGCATATATACTGTCAGTTTTTAGATCATTTGTGCATAATTTATATAAATCATATACCATACCTCCCTAAAATGAGTCGCTTTTCTCTTAAGAAAATAAGAACCTATTTAAGAACCTGTTTAGCCTAATTACCTGGTAAGCACCATTTACATAAGAACCTGTTTAGGCTAACTTGGAAAATCTAGGTTCTAGGTTTTACTGTACCCCACTCACTTAACCTGGCAAAGGTAATAATTACATACTGTATACCTTTCCTTGTTTGGTTTAGCTGGTGGGTTCCAATGGATCTCCTAACACCGACATCAAGATCCGTTTGCAGTTATTCCATCCCGTGAAATCAAACAGACGTCGACAGTTATCAAACCCAAATGTACCTGAGGTTTATCATTGGTGGACGTCGCCTTCCCGTCTTCAATATCCTTCAACACTCTACGTGACTGTGAAAGGAATTAAACCACCGAAAGTTATTGATGCCGCAGGAAGATCTATGTTCGCTGTTCAAGAGGTGTGTGTCTTCTAGTTAAAACTACAGGATGCAACTTTGTTCTCGATAGCTTTATCAGTTCTACAGTGTTTCTTCGAGAGGTCCTTCGGGCCTGAGCAAGCACCTTTCACCTCTGAGATCTCTTGGGACTGCGGACTCTTGACACTTGTGTGAAAAAGTCCGTTAACGTTCTACCAAAAATCTCTGGTTTTCTCAGTGTACTATGGTTGTTGATAGGGTATGTCGGGATAAGGCCCTCCCTGACACGGGATTAGCCCCTCCATGATCAGACATGAGTCATAAGGTGGCTACCAGAGGCGCCCTTTCTACTCGATCAGGTTGAACTGCATCCTTTGTAATTCAGCTTAGCCCACAGCAACAAGAAAGGATAATTCGCACACACCCACTCACCTACTCCAGTGTAATGGGCATCCCTTATTTGTCCATGCAGTGTTATACTGCAAGAAGAAACCTAAGTTAAACTGTTAAACTATAACTTTATTTATACACGGTAGATCTGTTGTCCCTGGATATCCAGTAAGGGCCCGGCATTTCTTATTAGTTCAGTGTTACTGCAGGATGAAACTGGAGTACCCGAGGAATATACCTGTGATGTTTCATAGAGTCAAACTCTCTATGAAGCACTCTAGCTTGTCATGAATATGTTTTTTTCTCTAAATATTTTTTTAATAAAAGAACTGCACGTTTCAGAAATCGAAGCCCGGCCCCAGAGACGAAAGGGACGTGCGCTCGCCGTTTTGCCAACAACACTCTCAGTTGCTTAGTAACAGTTACGAAAACTTATTTTTCAATCATTATAGGAAAGAGGGAAAATGACGTTTGAGGAGTTGACTGGCAAGATTGCTCGTGGAGAAAGTCCAAGGTAAGACGAATGAGGACCTGTCGACCTTACATCTGTTGACCTTAGATCTGTTGCCCTTGCCAGAAAACATCCCAAAGTGTTCCTTGACAATTTGCGCTAATATCAGGATTTCTGAGTTGAATCTTTTTCATGTTTATTTTAGTGAAATGGATGCTAATCGGGATATTGTCACTTGGACAAAGTTACCTGGACAGGTTTGTTAAGTACATTAATTTCTAATCAGTGTCAGTGAACTTTCTTAGCTCTGAAAAGTCGTGTTGAGGTTTAAATTCTTGTGTTTCTCTAGCCAAACCACGTTCCGAACCAAATGATGTCGACCCTGCAAGCAGGACGTCGTGGTTGTTTTGTTGTGAGATTTTCTAACGATGGCAGGTTTGTCGCGTTTATTTAACATACTTCCTTCGCTTAACGAAAGAAGAGAGAAACTAACTCTTCGAGAAATAGAGGCAATTATTCGTGACACAGACCAACCCCTGTCACCACCTTGTCCCTGTCGCACATAAACATGACTATTCTACTAGAACTGAAAGACGTAAATCATCGTTTATGCCTCGGGCACTTGCCTTTCTCACGCCACCATTTTTGGGTGGCTTTTCAGCCAAAGTCTACGAGTTTAGTCCACATAACAGCGACTTTTTATAATTTTTTGGACGAATGATGGTAAAGTTCCTTTGTAAATGGTCTGTTTATGTTGAAAAATTGCTTTTCACATTGTTTTAATTGTCTGCATTGGTTAACGAGAATTAGATGCCACCCAAAAATGGCGGATATTCGTCATCGTGAGAAAGGCTAATTGAACTTTTTAAGAATAAACTTTAAATTTTTATTGTTATATATGTAATCCATAATTTTAGATTGATATTGTAACGTTTGGTGTGGTCTTAATGACAGTAAACTATACATGCATGCAAGCTCACCGATTTCAAAAGTGCAATATTGCACATTGACTGTGTCTGTGTTATATTTTCGCAGAAAACTGGCTTGTGGGTGTGCAGAAAAGCATAGCTTCTCTATATTCGTATTTGAGGTAAGGCTGAACTATACTATTTGTATACTAAATGAGGGTCTTGATAAATTATTTTCGCATCCTCAATAGTTGAAGTTTCCGCTACTTTATGGTACAATTTTCCCCATTTATTTCCTGCAGACGTTATCCGGCAGAAGTGTCAGCACGTTTCAAGGACATTTCAGTATTATCTATGATCTATGTTGGTCATACAATGATAAAGAACTGCTGTCAGCTTCTTCAGATGGAACTGCTAGGTATTTTATAAGTAATCACAATTTCATTTTGCTCTTGACCTGCTGCTCATACATATACTCTCTGTCAGGGATTGCTTGTATACTCGAAAGAGATTTTTCCCGCTATTTCCGTATACTCGCGCATGCTCTTTACGTTTGACCGCGATGTTGGGGAGACCACCAAATACGTTAAGGTAACTAACCTCCACTCTCCTTTGAACTTTGTGTTCATTTTGCAGGAGTTGGGAAGTGTCGAGGGACGGTAGTCCTGCTACAAAGACATATCCTCATCCATGTTTTGTCTATGCTGCACGATATCATCCACAGAAAAAGAACTTGGTTATAACCGGCGGTTATGATAGACTTATAAGAATGTGGAGTAACGATTCTGAAGGTGCTAACGGCCAGGTATTTGTTGTGCTATTGTTATAAACTGTTCTCTTATTGTCTGCTAACATCAATAGAAATTGAGATAAGGGATATATGGTCAAGTGAAGGGAGGGGAAGTGGCAGATTTCGAGGAAGATATGCGATGATCATTGGGTTCTCAACTTAGGCATTTCTAGGTGAAGGGGGTAAGGAAGGCATGCTCATGTGGGGGTTGACTAAGGGTGGTATGTTCAAGGAAGGGGAAGGGGGGTTTGGTAAATTCCAGATGGACATTTTGTTCTCAATTCGGTTGGGGGGAGTGGAGGGGGAATGTTTAAGTGAAACGATCCACTATAATGATTATTTTATTCTCTTTGCAGCTCTTACGTGAGATGGATGGTCATAGTGGTTTTATAAATACAATCTGCTTTGATCCTTTAGGTACTAAATTCTTTATAACGCATTTCATTTTCCACGTACCATCCAATCATTCTGCTCATTCATTGTTTTGCCTTTATATTTATAACATATTGTGCAACGAACCTATTTATCAACCTTGACTTGTGTTCATTTCCCAACAACCTGGTTTTCTAGGTCAATTTATGTTTTCTGGTGACAGTTCGGGCACTGTAATTGTTTGGAACACGTATGCAAATGTTGAGACGAAATCCAAGAAAAGACGATCGCAGTCTGCAGGTAGAATATGTCAGTAGGTCGTTTTTATGTAGCTTTTAAATAAAACTGTACTGTACGTGTTACATCCTCAGAGTAACTGAACATTTAAACAACTTACAGTATGTTCTTTTATTTTTCAGCTGATGTTCAAAGATGGGTTATCAGCAAGACAGTAAAAGATCCTGAGATTAAGGTGTGGAATTTTATGAATAACCTCTACACAATGCATTTTGAAATTCTATTTACTTTGAAATCTACCGTATTCACTTACAAAAGACAACATAAGATTGTCTTATTCTCCACTGTCTGTTTATCAGGTTAGAAAAACCATTCTTATTATTTCGACAATTTTTTTTAGGATTGTATCATCAACTCAATACGGCTTCATCCGAATGGTCGCAAACTGTTGGTTCATACTAGGGACAGCGTGACGAGAATGTTAGATTTGAGAAGGTGTGGAGAAAGTCTTATTTAGCACTTCAGGGTCTTAGCCAGGGGCCGGTTGTTCAAAGATTTAACCTGCTGTTTTAGTTTGTGTTCTTCTACAGTTCTACACATCTGTGTATTTCAAAACTTCAGAGAAGTAAAGTCCTATCTATCCAGACCAGATCTCTGAAGAAATATTTTCAAATTTATAGAAAAGCTGTCAGGAAGTTTGCTTCGAATTTTAGGTTAACCAAGGGTTAAACTAACCCAGCTTTGAACAACCGGCCCCAGAAGATTAAAAAATTCGGCAGTTTAATTAACGAAATTGGGAATTTCATTTAGCTTGCGACATTCAGACCGGAGTTAAGGAATATCGTGTTTCTTAAGTGACGTTATCGTGGCCTAGCGCCAGTTGAGCTAAATTAAAACTTTTGAAGTCACCTGACATTGTTTTGCGTACTAAAAACAGACAAATATATATTTTAGGCTACATGACGTCCTCTCAACACTTATCTGGTACCCAATTTTTCTCGAGCAAAGTTTTGAAGTTGAACAATCTTTTATATATATAATAGTTACGTTTTTGGCTGATCTAAATTGTGAAATTGCTGGCTAAACGTAATTGTGAAAACGGCTTACAACGCCGAATTTTTTACTATAGTTAACACCCAGTACTTTAGCCTTCATTTTTTCCTAGGGTTGGTTAGTGGTCGATGTTACCAAAGGTTACAACTTAATTAGTGATAATTTTATTATTTTTAGTTTCTCTATGATGACCCGCTATATCGGCGCAAACAACTTTAAAGAACACGTGAGAAGTACCATGAGCACTTGCGGGAGTTTTGTATTTTCTGGTTCTGAGGATGGACTGGTGTATGTATGGGACACCGAAACAGGTAACCCGGGAATTTTGTTTGTAAAATGTATTGAAATGTACTGTATGTCGAATATAAGACACGGCTCGGAATTCAATAATCAACTTTTCAACAAAGGATATGACTTCATTTGAATTGCCTGCTCAAAGTTTTTTTCTATACTGCTGAGGGCATTTAGGAGAAGTCTGGAACAAGTTGTTTTCATTTTTTCAGGTGATCTGGTTAAGGTCTATAATGAACTCGGTTACACAGCAGCTGTATCTGACATTGATTTTCATCCGCATGACAATATTGTCGCATTCTGTTCTTTTGGACAAAATCATCCTCTTATCTTGTACCAATTCCAGCATACAGGTTGGTTAACAATCTAGCCTTCCCTTTGAAAGGATAAAGTTTTTTAATCTTATATGTCAGCTAGTTGAAACCATAGATATCTTATATACACTAGATAGTGCATCTAATTATTCTGCAATTCAAAAATTGAAGCCTTGATTGCAGACTCAGGATATTCCCATGAAATGAGAAGATTCGTATGTTTTCTATTTCTTAAACAGGGAACTTAAACATTAAGTTAAACCTATTCCAAATACATTTTCAAACTATTCAAATGATGAAAGTTATTGTTGTTTTTTAAGCGTTTATTAGCGAGTGGGAAACTTCAACATGGCCGCCATCTATTCAAATGGGGGTAACCGCTGGAATATTCTTGGCTTCAATTTTACTAAAAGAGATGCGCTAGCTATCTAGTGTATATAAGATATCTATGGTTGAAACATGTAATTGTTGTCCTCTTTTTCCTTCCACCCACCCGCATTTAAGGAAGGGAAAACAAGGCCTGATACTCAGGTTAATCTATGATAATTACAGGTACAGTGAAGGAAGTCCCATATACCCCTACTAGTCCCCCGATGTCGCCATTACGTACGACAACCCATACTCTGGGTCAAACTTCGGAGCATGTATTGACGTCTGAACCAAGAACTATGGAACGTACTTCAACACATATGGCTGACGTCGCATCAGAAACTATACTGCTGAATAAAATCAAGAAGAAATTGGATTCTGTTCTGGTAAGATTCCTCTACTTATGCAACGTTAGCCTTAAATGAAATATACTGGATAGCTTTTAGCTAGCTACTTACGTGAATGAATATGTTTTTCACATTTTACAGGAAGCTTCGAATACAACTGCTGACCTTCGATCAAGTATGGCAGGCTCAAGAACATTTTCAGCCAATCAGAGAACACCTAGTCCCCATGCCCATCGTCCCGATACGTCATTCGAACAACACGACATGAGAACTCTATCAACATGGGGATCTGACTTCACAGCTTTACCAACTACGCCATACAGTCCCGGATCTAATCCCCAGTCTCCCCAGAGGGATTTGGGCACGCGGACGTTTAGCCCGTTTGAAACTGGACAGCTAGGCGACAGTCGGTTCCTATCACCTAGTCAAGGTAAAGAATTTATGTTTGCAGTTAAACGTTTTTGCGGTTCTTCTTTTAGTAACACTAGACTAATAAAGATGACCCTTTAATACTGGACCGCAGTTTACAGAGAACTGATTGATCTATCCAGTATAAATATAAAGTGCTTATGCCAGTTTAAATCATGTGGTCAATGAATTAATAAAGGAATACCGAATGCTTTTCCGTGCAGGATTGCGTGATCCATGCACGAGGGATGTCGCGAGACTTTCGGAAAGCGTAAAAATACTCGAGCCGCAGGCGAGTGTATTTTTACGCTTTCCGAAAGTCGAGCAACATCCCAAGTGCATGGATCACGCTATCCTGCTTGGAAAACAATTTGGTAATTGTTTTATAAAATAACTACAGTGAAACAATGACATTTTGAGAATCCCACGAAAATCCCGCGAAGGCATTTTAATTCCTCGTGCAGGATAGCCTGATCCTGCACGGCTATTGACCAATCAAATTGCGTGTTTCACTGTAGTTATTATATACTTTGTTTTCACATGTTTTATCATTTTAGGACAGTCGACTTTTTCCAGACCACAATCTCGTAATGATACAAGTGTTGCTTTATTTACGGTACGTTACGCTTCACGTGATTGGGGTGTTTGGTTGTAGCTAGGCGTTGTTGAGTTGCATTTATTAGAGACCTTAAGATTGACGTTTACGGCAAACGTCAAACCGCTAGCGAGGTTCTTGATTTTACAACTCTATTATAATAGCTTTTACACCAGTTTTAAAATATGTTAAACTTATTATACTTGTACTCTTTAGCAATGATTTAAGAAAGCAAATTAACCACTAGTCATGCCATTCACCAAAGCAGTAAATTAAGATTTGGCGTTTGAAGTTGACGTTTGGCGTATAAATTTCATTCTTGAACTGCTACGAGGGCTTGTAGTCATTAAAGCATTAAATCTATACGCCAAACGTCAATTTCAAACGCCAAATCTTAATTTACTGCTTTGGTGAATGGCATGACTAGTGGTTAATTTGCTTTCTTAAATCATTGCTAAAGAGCACAAGTTTGATAAGTCTAACATATTTCAAAACTGGTGTAAAAGCTATTATAATAGAGTTGTAAAATCAAAAACTTCGCTAGCGGTTTGCCGTTTGCCGTAAACGTCAATCTTAAGGTCTCTATTAAATGATTTCCCCAATGTGAGAAAAATGCTTCCAGTTTTTTCCGAAGGTTTTGTCCAAGTGTTCCGGTTTTGTAAGGTCTGTTTAGACAAGCGCTCATGTCTATTTTCAGGTGAAAGCCGCATATCCATTCGCAGCCCGCAATGCAGACGAGCTGAACCTCGATGAAGGTGACGTCATCAAAGTATTACGTCAAGAGGATGAACATTGGTGGGTGGGTGAGATGAGAGATGGCAGACAAGGATATTTTCCCGCTTCGTATACAACCATGATCGGTAAGACATTCTATTCAAAGGTGGATCTGGCATCATCTGTTAGAAGGGGTGGGGGGTTTCCAGAGGGGGTTGCATTACTAGGGGGTCTGGTAAAGGCCCCCTCCGGCCCCCGGAAATATTTTGAAATTTGAAGCCCTGAAATGTTATTTCCTGAACTTATTCGTTAAATTCAGGTCTTCACGGACCTTGTATTTCAGGCAAAAATTAAGAAAAGTAAATATAATGTTCTACACCGGATCATGATCGTCATAATCCAGCCGTGAAAAAGAAAAATTATTTTGTTGAATTCATCTTGAAATACAGTGGCATCAAAGAGCGTGAAATCAGAGCACGCACCACCCCTCTCCGCAGCCCCCCACCCCCTTATACAGTAGATCCGTCTATGACTGTATTGTTAGTGTCACTGTAGGCTGTAGCAGGCAACATGAGTCATAAATTGCCCGCACAGAATACGGCTGTCCAGTGTATAGACTATCTAAGTTTACATATCGAAGTTTCTTTGATCAAATTATGCTAACTTTAACAATTTTGATTCAAAAGTGTTCTAACGCTGTAGTCACAGGACTAACATCGAGGCTGGTTTTCGGTAGTGATGCAAACCACTTTTAATCATAAAACTACGTTTTGTCAAATCTCCATAATTTGATGTTTAGATACAACGGATAAGAAAAAGAGTGAAAGACATAAAGGAAATAAACAGGTAAGTTTGTCACAGTGCGGCCCAGCTTTCCCCAAAGTTTGTGTCAGTACTTTTTGTTTTGTTTTTTTATATTTAATTTATGACCATCAATCTTGTATAGTACACGGCTGTTAGAACGACTGAAGGAGACGTGAAGATTCTCTCTGCACCTGAAGAAAGCGATGTGGATGTTGTTACTACAAAACGGTATTTTCCCTTAATTAATGTGTTCAAATAAACGTTTGAAATAAACGCAGAAAATATAGTTATAGGAACAGGAAAAAGTTAAACTTAATCTCTCTCATTTATTTCACACCAAAGCCTCCGGCATACGTTGAAAACACAGTTCATACTATTTTTCTGACACTCCATGCTTGAACCGACCATTTCTTGCATAACCCAAGACAAAAACTACACACTTAAAAACGCACACACAAGTTGTGACAAACCTGCAGCAGACAACTTGTGAACAGGATGTGTTCGCACCGCTTGTTCCCAGCTTGTTGACAAGTTGTCAGCGGCTTGTTGACAACTTGCTAGCACAAAGGTTGTTGAGCTCAACAGATTCATGGGCGTACCGGAAGGAAAAAATTAGGGGGGCGGAAAGAAAATGGCCCGACTTTTCGTGATTGTGCCCGACTAATACCGAAAATTTTTTTCCGGAAAAATTATTTTGGCGAAAAAAATTTCGATCAGTGTACCATTTTAGGGGTCAAAAAAATTTTCCGGACATGCCAAAATTTTTCGTAACATCGCACAAATTTTCCAAAAAAAAGTACATTTGCCACAAAATTGACTAAATTTTCGACAAAATTAACAGAATTTGTCCCATTTATTTTTATAACAAACCAAAATTGCCCGACTGTTAATCGAATATTGCCCGACTGCCCAAAAAACTGGGGGCTACGGTACGCCTATGAACAGATTTGTTATCGTTTTTCTGAAACTTTCATCTCTGTTCATATTAAATAATGCCTGGTTCAATTCGTCGGCGATCTATTGTATCTTATTCTTTACGACCAGTGTGAACAGGCATAAATCGCGCAAGAGGTTTTTGATAATATTTTTATTTTAGCTACATTTCGCGCGAATAGTTTACTATCCGTCCTCAGGCTATTTACACAAATTGTTCTAAAATCTGATTTCAACGCATGTTAAGTAAAATGTTGAGACATGTTGCCTTGTGATTTGTAATTTATGTGTCAACATTCCTACTTAACATGCGTAGAAATCAGATTTTGTTGCAAGTTGCAGCAATTTTGTTGCCCATATTAATCCGCCTTTACGCGTGTATGCTATTTTTGGTTTCCAGGTCACGTGGTGATGGGCGTCCTCCACGTCATACTCACGACAGGTCACGACCGTCATCCACCGTCAAGAAAAAATCGCCAAGGCGGACAAAAGATCTTCGAGATGAGAGCAATGCGTAGATGAGTTAGATATCTTTGTAAATAGATTAATATATGATTATTTTGTAATTATGCTGAATATATACATACCCTACTATAAATGTAACATAAACTCCATAAAATAATTTTTGAGGTAGAAAATGTAGATAATTCTTTTTAATTAACGTAGGTTGTCAGAGGATTGTAAAAAAAATTTGTTTTTCTGAAGAAAGGTTTTCCAAGAAAATAGCCTGATTAGCATATATTTTTTTACGGCAACGTGGCAAAACAACTCGTGATTGAGGATTATTGTATACGCCCCCGAAAATGGGAAATATGAATTTTTGAATACATCCCTAAAAGTAAAATTTGGCCTTATTGTCTTGAAACTGGAAAATTTGCATGAAACCTTTGATTTCAAACAGTAATTTGTTGGCAGGAAATGATTGAACGTCCAATAATGTTGAAAAAATAACCATACTTTGGGGAAATCCCTTGGGGTTCATCCGGTATAACTTCTTATCATGCGGTCAGTGACGCTTGTGAGCCGGTTTCTTTCGTTGAAATCACCCGCGGTTTACATAGTGAGCATGCGCAGGAACGATCAGAGGGGAGTATCCATTTAATCGACACAAAATTTTAGCAGAAATGGCCAAGAAAAGTTACGATTATCTATTTAAACTGCTGCTTATCGGCGATTCTGGAGTTGGAAAAACTTGTATATTATTTAGATTCTCTGACGATGCCTTTAATACGACGTTTATATCGACGATCGGTGAGTTTTTCGCTGTGTTTATGCCTGTGCGCTGCCATCGATATTTCGAAAATAGTTCGTTCAGGGTCACGAGACAAAATTTATGACTATTATGTATTTTGTATTGCGCAAATAGAGTATCGTACTGTCGAGTTAATTTAGACTTTCGCAGCATTTGGAACTCCTTAAAATGCTCTAGGGTGGCTAATTCGTTGTTGACGATTGGTAATTATAGATCTAAATTTACGCCCAGCCAAAATATCTGAGTAGAATTGATTTCGCAAAACGGAAGTTCACACACAACATTTGCAATTTTTTCCACTACCTGTCGACGTGTCCGTATATAAAGTATTTGCTTTGTTTGCAGAATTTTTTTTCAAAGATTTATTGGTTGTACTTTATCAGTAATTTTTCAACTTTAATGCTTAGCACGTTCACAAATAGTACTGTATTTCCATTCTGTTTTATTTAGTTTTATTTTCATTTTTGCTATTCTGGTGTCATGCCAGTCATGCTGATCGTTCAAGCAATTAAAGTCCAAAAGTTTCGCGTGAAAGTGTCATTAGACAAAATAAAAGTGTAGGATGTGTTAGGGTGCCGTATCGTTGGCCGATAAGACCCTTCCCTTGTTAACATTTTGCTGGCAGGAAAATACGATTATATACATACAAAAGATTATGTTCTCCATTGTGATCTAGCAATGCATATATCGCAATAACGAAACTCTCTTGGGAGCATTTTAAAAACTTTTGCCTGCCAGTAAAAGCTAGCAAGACAAGGGCACTTGACAAATACAAAGTAAAATAATAAAGTAGGGCCCATGCATGTGGGTCCATGTTTAATAAAATTTAATGGTTTAATAAGAGAGAGAGACACTGAGACAGACAGGTTCATCTCACTCTGACAAATATAAGTGTCTGGTGTAAGACAGTATAAAAATACTTAGAACTGCATTGCATTGAATTGAACAAGTCACAAATTATTAGCACTAATGAAGATCCGGGCTTACGGATCGAAAGCTTTGCAGTAATAAATTTACGTGGTGTTTCCACAAACAAAACTATTATATATTTTATCGCCATGCAAACGTACAAAGAACTTATTGCATTGCATAGGCCGAGACAGTTTTAAACGATAATCATCACTGCAAATAATGGATGGTTGCCGGTCAATAACCAGCTATTAAATAGGACATTGACCACTGCTTTTTTGTTTTCAATGATCATTTTGATTGGGTGAATATTATTAGAGCAGCAGTGATTTTTTTTTGCCAGTAAGCATACTGTATTGATATTTAATGTTACCATGTATAAATTGAAATGTAAGTGGGGTAATTAATTTCTTTGCTAGTCAACGAGATATTGTGATTTACACATGCTCGGAATTCATTTTCCCATTGGCCATGTGCATCACTTGACTAACTTTCAAAATATAAAACACTGCACAAATTTATTAAATGATGGAATTCAAGATGGAACCCAAATGCTCAGCTCCAAAGTGATTAAATTACATGAAAATATTGTTCTTTTTCCCCATGAACAGTCGTTTCATGTTTGACAGGGACAATTTTGTACTTGTCCGGCTTAATTTAATATCCCTAGTCATTATGAACTTCAAGTTTCTGTAATTACTTGCCGCACACAATAACTGATATAGAAAGACTGATAAAATGGACATAACCTGTCCAATTGTGACTTAGCCCATCCAGTAGCGGCAAGTGAAGGCTAAAATTGACTGGTGTTAGACAGAGTAAAATAACAAAGTAGGGCTCATTGAGGCTACATTGCTATGTAAAGAGTTAACAGGATGCATGTGTGGATAGTGTGTTTAATTAACCTATCAATTGGCAATACTCTCCCCTAAGTGACAAGTAGAACTGTCTGGCATTAGATGGTGCATTGCTCCTTAAGGCAGTGGTGTAACTTTACTTTTTTGACCACTTGCCCTCATGGCAAGTTGGACATGAAAATGAGTTGCCCTGAATAAAATTCACTTGCCACCAGACAATGGCCACTGGGGTACCTTGGTTATGGAGTATAACTTAATGGGACAACATGTCGATCCATTCTCTCACTGGTCTATATGGCTATGTTATACTGCCTCAGATCTAGCTTTGGCACACGAAAAACACAATTTGAGTCAAGTACATGCACTATAGCATGCCCAAGGCAATCGGGCAAGCAAGATAAAACATTTACTTGCCCGTCATGATATTCACTTGCCCCAGGCAAGTGTGCAAGTGTTAAGTTACAACTCTCAATGAGTTAACAGGATGCATAGGGTGCAGATAGTGAGATTAAACCATCGAGTGGCAGCACTCTCCCCTTGATGAGTAAAACCGTCTGGCATTAGAGTAAAATAACAAAGTGGGGCACATCAGGGCACATTGCTGCTTAAAAGGTTAATACGTAAAAGGTCTGTAAAGAAAACAATTTCAGACTATATAACTTCATCCGTTTTTCTCCAATCCATGTTGTTGTTTTTATTTAGGCATAGATTTCAAAATCAAAACCATTGAACTAGAAGGGAAGAAAATCAAGCTTCAAATATGGTAATGTTTTTGAAATAACTAAATCATGGTCTTATGATATGATCTTTGATATAAATATTTTCTGACATGAAACTGATGATTATTTTCCAGGGACACAGCCGGACAAGAGCGTTTCCATACCATAACAACATCATATTACAGAGGAGCAATGGTAAACTTTTGAAACCAATCAGCTTGTAGTTGATAATGTATATATAATAATAATTAACATAATAAATTACAGCTTATTATGGTGATTTCTAGCCAAAGCTAAATGACGTGCGTTAAAGATTTGTCAATTACTTTCCAGAGTGCGATAATGTGCAATAATAATTGGAGTACCAGTGAAGTGTGGCTGAAAATCTTGAATTATCGCACCTTATGTTTTTCCTCATACAGCAGGGGGTGTGACCCGGGACAAATTTTGTAATTCTTCCAAAACCGAGGAGAAACTGGGGGGGGGGGGTG